ATAGAAGATTCGAGTATTTCGGGATATTTTACCGACGCGCGAGATTCTTTGAAAGAAACGTACTATGATGGATATTATTATTCAAGTTAGTTTATACACAAGCACATATCTTTTTATCCGAATTAATATTTTGTACAAGATGTGGGAATAATTTTAAAACCCCGATATTTGTTTATCTACGTATTACGCGAAGTTCCATTCTACACGCACGAGCAACGTGATAAACAATTTTTTTACGCATCAATACGATCAAAAAAGAAAAACTTTCAATCAAATAGCTCACTTTCCAGGTAAGATCAACAGTTGCACGCGCTGGTTTTTTGTAACAAATATCCGACAGATAACCGATAAGGTACTCGATCGTCGCACACTTATATAACGGTGGGCGTGTGCTCGCAAAATTAAACGGTTCAAGTTATTTTAACGATATCGGGAAACGCGAAATTTCTTTTTTTTTCTCTATATTTTCTCTATATCTTACATGTTTATTTATGAAGCGCAATTTTGTTTTCTGAATAAAGAACAAACATATTTTCAAAAACTGTGAGTCATTGACAGTTTTTAAATATAGTCACGCGGTGTGTATATTCAAAAATTAATATTTTTCAAGTAAAAAATTCAAACAAGCAAAAAAAAATTAACACGTTATAAAATATATATAAAATCTCTTAAACACTGCGTAATAAAGCTCTACGTATGTCACAGATGTGAATAAGTTTACGTACGGACTAATCAACGTAGTTTCAATATTTATACAAAAAAAGACACTTGAAATTTTATCTCGTAAATATAGAGCGCATTTGAATGTTAAAAATTGCGAAAAAATAACTCTAGCAAATAGTGACTTATTTTTAAATATTATTCGTTATGTAACATTTTCCCGTTTATTGCTTAAAGAATAATTTTGTTTCGATTATATAATATTTTGCTTCTGATTATACAACTGTAATCTTTTTTATCATATATGAAGAACATTCTTAATATATTAACATACAAAGATGTTTTTCGGGTTTGAACCGCGTTAATGTCATTTTTTTATACCGACGTTTCGTGAACGTTTCGTGAACATTTTTTCGTAAACATACTGAGTATCAGGTTGCTCCTTAAACCCTGATTAAATGAGCTGAAATCTTCACAAAACGTTGGTACAAAAATGACACTAACGCGGTTCAAACCCGAAAAACATCTTTGTATGTTAATACAACACACCGCGCGAAAGCATCAAATATCAGATTCTTAATATATGTTTACAGCAGTAATATATTTAGAAATATTTAGAATAGATCCTAATGTTGAAAAATAGAATGCTCGAGATATGTTCGAGAAATATTGTGAAATTTGAGTTTTTCTCATACAGAAAGAGAAAGAGATAGAGAAAGAGAGCACAAACTTCAGAGACCGAGAATGTTTCGCGCTCGGCGGCAGCGGCGGCCATCTCGTAAGGTCGTTTCGAGCTGGCCAACGTATACAGGGTGTATCAAATGTCGCGGCACTTTCTCTCGGCCTAGCGCGAACGTTAAAGGCCAAACTGCGAGTAGAATGTCGTTCGTTTCAATGTCGAGACGTCCATTAGTATTACTTGCGAGAACGAGGCATTTAAAAAAGCAATACCATCGAAATTTCTAACTTCACGACGTTATTTATCGAGATGATTATTGTCGCATGTGAACACCTGCGTATACGTATTAACGCACCAAAAGCGTTTTGATTGCCGAGAAACTTCGAGCAAAAGGTGCAAAGGATTTTTTTTTTGGAAAAAAAAAATACGCCAATTGCTCGTGTAGACAACCGATTTTTGCGTAATTACATCGAGGACAGCATTATGTAAGATCGAATCAGACAATGGGTGTAGACATTTTCGTATAATGAATCAATTTTGAATACGTTTCTCTCTCCCGCCCTCTCTCTCTCTCACAGACACACACACACATAGAGAGACGCAATTTGTTACGCGAGTGAGTGTTTTACCATTTTCAATTACTCGGAAAACTCGCAAATCCAGTGGAATTTTGTTTCTCGATTATATCCCGATTAAATTGCATTTTTCATATTTATGTAATTAATTATAACACGAATTATGAAATCACAAATACCTTTAATGCTAAAAACCGAACGCAAACAGTATTAGCTCTCTCTGCACTAACTTTATAACATCAAAAAAAAAAAAAAAAAGATGAAACATATTCGTTGAACATTAAATGTAAAAAACCAAGATGCTTCTGTCTTAATTTTTAAAAAGAACGCAACACGCGTTCGAGATAAAAGAAACTAAGCTCATCTTTCGATTGTTATCGACGAGAAATTCGACAACAGTAGATGTCGACTTCCATGTGCGGCAATGAGATATATAATATTTCTGTTGTAAAATTTTGCTCGTTACACTGACCGCGGCGGGGAAGGTAAATTTTTATCGTGCGCGCTAACTAAAATATCGACGAAACTGTCGTCGCGTAGTTTCGAGAATTACACTCTCAAGTTTGCAACAAAACGCGATTGCGGTCGCAAGATTCAACGTGCGTGCTGACGTGTCGTCTTCGACGAGAACCGTCACTTTCTGCGACACTGAACCTAATTAAGCAACGATTAAACCGCATATATCTTATACGGTAAGACTATGTCAAAATAACTCGTCGAAGGTTTTTCGTTCGCGCGCAAGCACGTAATGTATATATAATACTTTCTCCACGTTTCGCGTTCTCTCTTTTCACCGTAGCCGACGAACCGATCTTTATTCATCGATTTTAGTTTTCGCTAGCGCGGACGAGGTAAAAAAGAAACGCGCCGAGGCTGGCGATAAACAAACGTGGAAAAGAGCACTAAAATGTTTTTATTTGTAAAACACATATAAAAGTCCTGTCGTTTGAATGGATCATATTACACTTTCCGTGCTTCAAAGTGCCCTAAAATATCGTGATTTTGAAAAAATAAAGAAGAGCGAAAAACCGTAAAGATAAGTGCAAACGAAAAAAACCTAGAAAAACAAAAGATGCGGAACGCACAGAGATTCGCATCACCAAGATCATTCTTCTACGCCGCGATGGAACGCGATAAATTTTTTACAAACAGCTAAACATGTCGGATCGAGAGCAAATAGCGTGTTAATTCTTCAACGAGTATGTAGAGAAAGAGCCACTTGTAATTTGTTTTGTACTTCGGGAGTTTTGTTCTGCGTGCGATCGGCTCGGACCGAGTGCTCGACTCGTGCCACTTTCACTTTCGATCCACCGAGTAATGAAGTACAGGTCGAAATAAACGAATGATTGATAACTCCGCGAACCGCGTAACGAACATGATTCGCAAGGAATCAACGCAATCGGAGGGATCAGTGTCGTAAAAAGTGACGCGTCGTCGATGCGAGCGAGTCGCGTACTCGTGTACGACGTATCTTCGCGGTATCGCGTATGGGCGCCAAACATCAGCGTTTTTAAAATTATCGTTCCGAGAAAATCATAAAAACGATCTATCAATTCCGTAGCAGTGGTAATCGCAACGGATTTATCAATCCGCGATTCAGCGCGTCGCCATTGACAGAAAAAAAATTTCATTACAGCTCCGCGTTCGACGAAAAATCGAAGCTGAAAACTTGGCAGAACTCTAATCACCAAAAAAAAAAAAAACTCACTGAAACGCGCGCGTTCCCGGTTCCTACTGAAAATTGTTGGCGATCTCGAATAGTTTCGAAGAGTGAAATTTAAAACGTGAATATCGCCGCGGAAAAAAAAACAATTCAAATGACTCAGACTGGTGATTTGGGCAAGATTAATTGATCTCGTATATTTAACGATCGGATTTGTTTCAGTTTGTAAGCGTCACGAGACGAAACATCCAACTAATGTAATCTTACAAGGCCTAATCGAACTCCGCTGGTGTCGTGACACTTTCTTAATTACCCGCTTTCATATTCATCGCGTCACTCGCGTTGTTTATCAAACATCATCGACAGATTATATTTCTTGCGCAGAGATAAACGCCTTGAACGATCGCGAACAACGTTTCTCGCAAGACATAGTTTGCACCGTGAGAGAGGGAGAGAGAGAGCTTGTCACTTTCGTCGTATCACACGTTGTATACACGTCAAAATATTTTGAAATGTAATCGAGGAAATATGCGTTGCGTTTAATATCGAGAGAGACCGCGTCACAAATAAAAATTGTAGTAGTTTTCAATCTCTCAGCGTGTGTTGTATTTGTAAATCGAGAGAGAGAGATCAAGTAAATTTTTAATCCACACGCGCGCGCGAACACTCTCACGTGTGCAATCTAACTTCAAGATTGTTGTATCTTTCTGAGAGAAGCGACATTTGATTCAAATCCACATTTTATCTGTCACTTGATTCAGCGCAAATAACGCTGTTACGCAAAAAAAAAAAAAAAAAACAAGAAAAAAAAACGGGTGTAAAAAAGAAAAAAAGAAGTTTCGACTAGATTAAATGTCAAGTTTTAATCGCTGCGAATCCGGTGATGTCATCGTTTTGAAATATCTCGCGCGGACAAGTTTTTCGCACACAATTTTGACAACTTTCACGTTCCGAACAATTCACTGCTCACGGTATTTCGCGTCGGAAAGATACAAAGAAGCGTAAGATGTAAAGTGCAATATCTTTGACAATATATCGCGAGGTAACGCGTGCCGTCGGGGTGTCATACGGCGACGCTTCCGTCGCGTCAAATTTTCTACATCTTCACGAGAACAGAGAATTCGGGAGAGAAGCGAGTTTCTCAGGAAAAAAAGCGGAAGGGAATCCGTTTCATTATTACGCGTCACATTTTTCGGTGAAAGAACTTTCTTTATTTCTCAAGAGAGAAGGTGTTTGTCCTTTATCTTGGAGGAACACGCACGCACACACGGTGGCACTCTTTCTCAGCTCGCAAAGGAATCGGAGCGCGACTTCCCTTTATATTCCGGCCTCGCCTCTCTCTCTCTCTCTCTGCTCTACGTTGCGATCCCGAAGAATCTTCGGGGAACGCAACAGCACAATAAAACATTTGTGATATACGTACGCGATCATTTGCTGCAACGTCGGCCGCTCCGCTCCGCTCTCTCTCTCTCTCTTTCTTCTCCTTTCTTTCTCTTGGCCTTTCTTCGCTATCTTCAAGTTCACACGCAAGAGCGTCCGCCGCGCACTTATTATCCCCTTATTAATAGGTCCGTTATTTTCGAGGTTATAACATCTCGAAACATCGCGGCGCGGTGTTCACTTTGGTGAGAGAGACAGAAAACGTTTTTTTTTTTTTTCACACTGCTGGATCTTCATCCGGGGTCGTCGTCGGGGCTCACAGAGAATTGCGGAGAGTCGGTCGCACGCAAGTACGTCACTGGCGTAGAGAGAAAGAGAACGAGGAGAGCACTCTACAGAGAAAAGAGCGGCGGGAACGATGACTCCGTCGGAGAGGAGAGAGCACACACGACGATTTGAGTAGACGATCCCGGGTCCCCGGGCGCGCAAGATCGACGCAAGATGAGATCAGGGCGCGGAAGGAGCGATCGACGGAACAGGAACCGCGGATGCGAAGGAACACTGGCACCAGCTTGAACGATGCATCACGGCGAAGGAGAACAGACACGGTCGTTATAGCGAAACACTCGGTCGGTATAATCGCGCGGCACCTCCACCGGAGCACATCGTAAACACGGAATTGTTCGGCGACGGCTGCGATCGGCGGAGATCGAACGGAAGGAACGGGCGAACCGTGCGAATAAACACGACGAACCGACGTGAACGAACGAACGGACGAACGAACAAACGAATCATACTAAATAGCACGTACGATAAAGATTAAAATATGAAAAACACGCGAACCCCGTACATGCGAACGAACGAACGTACGAACGAATACGTGCGCGGCCGAGACAAACGCGGTCACATACTGCGGGTGCGACGCGACGCAACGGCAACGCGGCGCATAGCGTCGCGGCGTTCTCCAGAGATCGCAATGAAGTTAGGAAAATACTATATTTCACTGTGCACTGCACGGCGACACTGTACTGTGGTACAGATGTTGGGCTTTTGGATGCAGGTGCGGCCCAGTGAGGCACCGTTTCACATTATCGTTGTCGTCGTCGTCGTCGTCGTCGTCGTCAATGCCATAGTTGTAGCAAGAAATCTCTTCATTTTTTTTTTATTCTCGTTTCCTTTTAATTCTTACAGCCGCTGTTTTTATGAGTAGAGAATAAGCGGGATAAATAGAGGAGCGAGAGAGACAGATGGATGATGGAAAAAAAAAAGCAATTGGGCAGAGAAAAAGGAAGAGAAAGAGACAGAAAGAGAATGTATTCGTGGCGTGTTTGCAGTTCGTCGTTCTGCGTGTGTGTGTGTGTGTGTGTGTGTGCGTGGATGCGTGGATATGCATGAGAAGAAAATGAGAGATTACGCACACTTGCGTGATTGCCTAAAAGAGAGAATGAGAATCGGAGCAGGCAAAAGAGAGAAAAAGATAGAAAGAGAGAGAGAGAGAAAGAGACAAAGAGGGGAGATGAGCGAGTGAGAGAGATAGAGAGAAAGCCAACGGAGCGAATGCGAGGGAGATAGATAAGCACAAGGACAAAGAGAGACGGAGAAGGAGCGATAGACTTGACAAAAGAAGCACAACGACTGGATGAGCGTCGGAGCAGTTTTTCTTTCTCAAGTCCGTGAGCTTAATTTCATCGTGGTGGAGCCGTTACGAGTGATGTTGAACAATACCTCCCGCACTCTTCGGAGCGTGGCGCGCTCACGAGAGGACGTTACCGACGGCGACGACGATCACGCGATGACGACGACAGGGATGACGACGGCAATAATAACGATGATGACAGCGACGACGACGGCAAAAACGACGACGAGAACGACGACGACGACGACGACGACGACGACGACGACGATGACGATGAGAACAACGACAATGTTTCGTCGTTCCTGCTCGCACACATTTTTTTGAATCTTCCCGAGAAGCTTACCCGCGGCGAACTATTCCCTTGATATATTGTATTCCTTTGCGGAGAGCCGTTCGCCAGCAGCACCAACGTTAGCGAGCAACGGCGACCACGACGACGACGGCTGCGGCGGTGGCGGCGGCGGCGGCGACAGCAACAACGGCGGCGGGCCACCGCGATTAAAAAACACTCGCGTTCTCGCGCACTCGCGACCCGACGATTCGGTGTCTCGCTGCTGCGGCACAAAAATCGGTGCGGCCGGTCCACACGACGTTTTCAGGGCCGCCAGGTTAACGTCACGAAATCCACCGCACACAACCATAGATCCAAACGGCGGACGGACGGACGTAAGGACGGACGACAGGCTAGCAGGCAGGCAAGGCGGAATCACGGGTGAGGCGGCGGGCGCGGGGAGAGGGCGTTCGGGGCGGGCAGCGTGGTTGCGGGGTGAGGGTAACGGGCCGCCGAGCGAGAGAACGGCGTAGAGGGGAGAGAGAGTCGAGAACGACCGACCGAGCGAGCGAGCGATGTTAGCAGCGCCGCGCGGGGAAAAGGGGAATGCGCTAGCTCAGGATCGGCTGTTGCGGTGGCACCCGCGAGGCCCCCGCTTGTTTTACACACTGCACGCTCGATGATGTCGCCGAGACGAGAAAGAGAGAAAGAGACTTCTTTATTCTCGAACGAAATTCTCGCGAATTCTCATCACGAAATTAGTTCCGAGGTGACGTTTTTTAATCAAATTGCAACGACAAACTCGACGATTCCGGCGAAGTGTAGACTTCACTGGATGTTTTACACCAGCAGCAGAGCAGCAGCAGCAGCAGCAGCAGCAGCGCGGCGGCCACGAGCAAAGCCGCTCTGCCTATATCCTGAAAGATCCCCGACTTAAAGCGGATAGACCGAAAGGGCTCGACTCTCGAAAGTCGGAGAACGATGTCATCGTCTGGTTTAAACTTGTTACGGGAGATACGTGCGTGAAAATTGAATGCCGAGGAAGAGAGACACGGAAAAGGCACTTTTCAATTCGGGTGTTTTTTTTTGCCTGCTTTTTCGAAAACGAAATCGAATTATTCGATTTAGGAATTAACATTTACACGCGCGCGTCCTTTGACTTGTACTTTCACTCGGACTTCCATCTTCTGTTATTTTCGGTTCGCGCTCGTTCTTCTCACACTGTATTAAACGCACAAAGGGACCGCTTCTCCTCTCTCTCTCTCTCCCCGAATCGGACTCGCGTCTTGATTTCCACGTCGGACGAGAAAGAAAGAGAGAGAGAGAGAGAGATTGATCCGTCCGTTTTGTAATTTTAAAGCGTGTGCAACGACAACGATGCGTTTTGCGTTCTAAAAGAGAATCGTTCGCTTGAGTATATATCGCAAATTTTATCTGGCTCCTCGTCTCGCTCGCTGGACACGTCTAACAATCGGTAGAAACAGACGATCCGTGTGAACAATACGTTCGAGAAAGCGACACGTTCCGATATAGCAAGCAAAACTCTATTCGTCTCCGTTGTTTCTCTTTCATAGACACGACGTGGTCATTCGGTTGCGTCTACTTTGTGTGACGAAATTAACGAAAACGACATAATGAAGTTTCACGAACGTGTTTTGGCCCCGTGCTTGTGCAAGATTCATGTCTAGATATTGGTCCGTGCGCCCGCGCGCGAGAGAGAGAGAGAGAGAGAGAAGAAGAGGGAGAGAAAGACAATATGTTGATAAAACTTGAATAAAAATCGTCTCTCTTCGATATGTTACGTAAAACCTCGCATTCTTAATTACGTGTAAATTATTTATCGGAGCACCAAGATGTTCGGAGCATATTTATTGCTAAATGTACTCAGCACTTATTTCGACGTTTATTATCGGGCGTGTTCATCTTGCTTGGGGACTATTTGAATTTTGGAGGAGATTATTCGGCGCGCGATATTCCACAGCGCCAGATCAAGTGGAATTTGCGAGATTCGAGCTGTGGATATCGACGGACGTGGCTCGTAATTTTCCGTCGATTAACGATTCCGGGGTTTGGCGCGGGCGCGTAAAATCGCCGCGTACGGCATTGGGCGTCGAGAGCACAAGCAAGAGGCTTGCTTGCTGCCTCGCGGCCAAGGCGAGAGGCCGAGAGAGGGCAGAGGCGGTTTGGCTCCGGTGGTGGGGATGTCGGCCGTTGGCGGGGGAGGGTGTACAGTTGATCCCGGTTGCGCGAGGGAAGAAAGTCCAAGCGAGATCGAGCGAGCGCGCGAACTCGCGCACGGAAGCGGGACGGCGCGACGCGGCGAGCTCGCGCGCGCGCGTTTGGCAACGGCGCATCTCCGATAAGCGGGCGGCGACGTGGCAACCTCGCAGAAAGCCTCATGGACGCCAGCAATCCACCACACTCACGGGTGTACGGAGAACGGCGGACCAGAGAAGGAAAGAATCCCGTTTTGCCATGCCGAAGGAGAAGGAGAGAGACGGGGAGAGGGGGGGCGAGCGCACGTGAGAGAGAGATGAACATGCTGGTAGCGGGAAGCAGGTGGGACGAACGTGCTGAGCCGAGCGAGTGAGTGTGCGAGAGAGAAAGAAAAAGAGAGTTGGAAAGAGATAGAAAAAGAATGAGCGAGCGAGTAAGTGAGAGAGGGTTATTGAAACGGAGAAAGAGAAAGAGATTCTCTGTGAGCTCTCGCGCACACCAGGCTACAAAGTTTTCCGCCCGATCTCTTGAGATTTCAGGAAAGCGTTTGGTGCATTCGAAATACGTATATATTTATACATGCGTCGACTGCGTGGTTTTATTCGTCCGACGCACTCCTCGCATCCTGGTGCGTACGTGGTCTCCGTCGTCGCGGAATGCACACGCCTGACGACGGGGAACCGCGCTTTGTTCTCGAAATTACGACAATTTCCTCCCGCAACCCCTAAGACGAATTGCTGTCGAATATGAGGGGGGACGATAACGCGAAAATGAGTTTTCTCTCTCTCTCTTATTTTCACTTGTATCGATCCTGTGTGTCTCAATCCTTAACGAAACCTATTAATTATTGATAATACCTATCTTTTTCTTCCGGACGAGGAAGGACAAATAAATCTTTCGCGTCGCGAATTTACTTACACGTGAACAAAAATTTGTTCACGAAATTAAAAAACTCGCGCCTAGCGAGTTGTGGTTACCGGTTTGAATACCGACTCGGATCGCCATGTTAAATGCATAACAAGCGCGCGCGATGTTATATACATATTGCGTGTACGTATGTGTCGCGTCTCGCGAGTTCTACAGCCTTTTTACGACCTCCACTCCGCGCGATCGGACAATGAATAAGTTAAACAAAACGAGTTAGTAGGTCAGACGCCTCGCGTATACGCGCGTCGCGCGCGCGTCCCGAAGTTTCGTCCGTGATAAAGCACGGATAAACATGTACGCCGGGCGAATATATATATATATATATATATATTCGCAGGGCAAACGAAGATTTGTTCGGTCCGACCGATCTCTCTCTCTCTCTCACGACAATTCGGAGAAAAGTTTCAAGGAGATTGGCCGACGTTCAAGAGAGAAAGATCAGATTTTCCCGATGAAGTCTCCGCCTAAGGAGGATTGATGCGTTTTCTTTGCGCGTTTACGCTCGGTTCCGCACGCGGAACTTTCTCGCAAAACACATGCCCACGGGGCGCGATATCGCAGTCGGCGCGATAAGAGAGCAACGTACATACGCATTAATGCGTCGCGGTACACAGAACCGTTTGTGTATTTACTTCGCCGCGGAGAGCGAAGTTTGAAGAGACCCCGAGCCGGAGTCTCTTTCGTAAACAACGAGCACGAACACTCTCCTCCGTTGGCTGGCTCTTCCTATAGATATTTGGAAAGGGAATTTTGAACTCGCGCCCGATACCGCCGTATCGATTAAACACGGTCCGCGCACGGCCGCGTACTTTAATGTCGGC